TGGGGGGATAATTACACAGGACACAAGATTCTAAGTTGGTGGGGCTTTTTCTTTTGAGCACTTTAAATATTTCACTCTACTTCTTGCTTATGTGGTTTTTGAGGAGAAGCTGATGTCATTGTTATCTTCACTCCCCTACAGGTAAGATGTGTTTTTTTCCCCTCTGGCTTTTTCAGGATTTGTCTTTATCTTTTATTTTCTGTAGTTTGAGAATTATATGCCTAGGGGTACTTTTTTGGCATTTATTCTACGTGGTGGTCTCTGAGCTTCCTGGGACTGTGGTTTGGTGCCCAACATTAATGTGGGGAAATCCTCAGTCATTATTATTTCAAATATTTCTTTCCTTTTTCTTTCTTCTCCTAGAATTCCCATTACACATGTTATACCTTTCGTAGTTTTTCTGTAGTTCTTGGTTATTCTGTTTTTTTGCTTTTTAGTCTTTCTTCTTGCTTTTCAGGTTTGGCAGCTTTTATGTGATATCTTTAAGCTCAGAGATTCTTTCCTCAGGCATGTCCAGTCTACGAATAGGCCCGTTGAAGGCATTGTTCATTTATGTTGCAGTGTTTTTTATCCCTAGTATTTCTATTTGGTTCTTTCTTAGAATGTTAACCTCTCTGCTGACGTTGCCCATCTCTTGTATGCTGTCTACTTTATTCACTAGAGCCCTTACCATCTATCTATATATGCACACATATATATATGTCATATATATATATATGTATATATATGTCATATATATGTGTATATATATTTGTTGTATATATATATATGTGTGTGTATATATATGTGTATATATGTATATATGTGTGTGTATATATGTATATATATGTGTGTGCATATATGTATATATATGTGTGTATATATATATGTATATATATGTGTGTGTATATATATGTTTTTGTCCATGGTTCCTGACTCATAACTCCCATAAACCCTTGTTATAGTAAATAGAATCTCTCTTACCTTCTCCTGCCTGCTTTCCTCTGCCCAAGGCAGGACTCTCATCTTAGATTGTGGGTCGTAAGGGCCTCATTCCAGAGGGGAACCTGCCCTATATCCTGGAGGAAGGAATGCTACACAGAGAGGCCAAGAAGAATCTGAACAGACAGGCCTTGCTGGGTTTAGATCACACCTTTTTGTACAATCACATTTTGATATGGTTGTCCATGCTTCTATTCATATCATGCCTATCCAATAAAGTCTCCATAAAAAAGCCCAAGAAGACAGGACTGGGGGCTTCTAGTGAGCTGAACACATGGAGGTTGACAGGGAAGGTAGCAAGAATTCATCCATGGGCTGGAAGCTAGGTGCAATAACACACACCTGTAATCCCACTCAGGAAGCAGAGGTGAGGGAGGGTCGTTGGAGCCCAGGAGTATGAAGCTGCAATGAACTATGATTGTACTGCTGCACTCCAGCCTGGGCAGCACAGCAAGACCCTGTCTCAAAAAAAAAAAAAAAAATCCACACGCTGTAAGGGTAGTGCAGCCCAGTTCCACGGGGACGGAAGCTCCTGTGCTTGGGACTCTTTGAGACCTCATCCTATGTATCTCTTCATTTAGCTGTTTATTTCTATCCTTTTAAATATTGTTTATGATTAATTGGCAAACACAAGCATTTCCTTGAGTACTGTGAGCTGCTCTAGCAAATTAACCCAAAGAAGTGTCCGGGGAACTCCCAACTTGAGGCGAGGCAGTCAGAAGTTCTAGAGACCCAGACTTGCAACTGGTGTCTGAAAGTGGGAGCCCCAGCCTTGGGGACCAAGCCCCGTGGGGTCTGATGCTGTCTCCAGGTAGATAGTGTTGGCGTTGAATTGGAAGAAACCCAGCTGGTGTTTGCTACAGAATTATTGCTAGCTTCCTGGTGGGGAGAAATTCCACATATTTTGGGGCCACAGAAGTCTTTGTTTTTAATGATTGTATGGGTGTGAGGGAAGAGGAAAAGTTGACTTTTCCTAAGAGCATCTTAATCAGAGTTTTAAATTGCCAGTCCAGTAATTCCAGCATGAATAACTCTTCTTAGCTGTCAGAGAAGTGAAGTCACAGGGCAAAACACTGCCATATTTCAGTCTGATTCTGATCCCTGCTGTCTCTTCAAACTGTGTTTTTGCCTTTTAGTATGCCTTGTAATCTTTTGTTGAAAGCTAGACATGGTGTGTACTGGGTAAAGGGAATTCTAGTAAATAGGCCTTTGATGATGTGGGAAAGCATGGGGAGAGGGAAAGCATTCTATAGTCCCGTGATTAGGTCTCGGTCTTTTAGTGAGCTTGTGTCTCTGCTCTGTGAACCTTACAAGTGCTTTTCAGTCTCCCGGCTCCTCTTAAGTGGGACAGGATGGCTAGAGCAGGCTTGAGTCAGGTCTTTCTCTTCCCCCGGGTAGGATAGGGTCTGACAGAGGACAAGCCTGGTTAAGAACAGAACACTCTGGCTGATTTCAAATGGTTACTTGCCTCTCCCTGCTGGAAGCATAAGAGAAGTTTTCTCTGATACTCACTGTGTGAACCCAGTAGAGCTCTGGGAAGTAAAAGCCACAGCCATATGGGGGTCTTCCTCTGGAGTTCATCGAGTCTCCAGCAATTTGTCATTTAAAGTTCAAGTGTTCTTACCCTGGTGCTGGTTCCTGCAGAGGTTTCTTGTGGATTTCTGGTCAGGTAAATTGTATTTCTGTTTTTGTTTGTTTGTTTTGTTTTTGAGTTGGCGTCTCAGTCTCTTGCCCAGACTGGAGTGCAGTGGTGTGATCTTGACTCTCAGTAACCTCTGCCTCCCCAGTTCAAGCAATTCTTGAGCCTCAGCCCCCAAGTAGCTGGAATTACAGGTACGTGTCACCATGCCTGGCTAATTTTTGTATTTTTAGTAGAGACGGGGTTTCACTATGTTGGCCAGGCTGTTCTCGAGCTCCTGACCTCAAGTGATCTTACCTGCCTCGACCTCCCAAAGTGCTGGGATTAGATGCATGAACCACTGCACCTGGTCTAAACTGTAATTCTCTGTATTCACCTGTGTGTCTCTAGCTTTCGGGCAGTGTTTTGCCCTGTGACTTCACTTCTCTGACAGATCTCAGAAAAGTTACTCATTTTTCAGTTCGTTCAACATTTTACTTGTTAAAAAAGAGTGGTAACTTCCAAGCTCCTTCTGTGGCAGACCAGAAACCAGAAGTTCTACCACCAGTTTTTATTTAATAGAATCATTACATTGCAAATTTGAAGGAGATTTGAGACACCATCTAGCCCATCCCTGCAGGGTATCTTTGAGGAATGTCTCCCTGTCCCTCCGCCCCACACACAGACACCTCCCTCCGCTCCCTGGCCGTGGTTGCTGGTGGTCTTCCTGATGCTTCCCACATGGGGAGAGTATTCATTCCACTTAAACTGCTCGGCTGGTTAGAAGACTGTTAGCTGTGGCCCTGAATGAAGGCAGGTACAAAGAGGAAGATGAGGAAGACAGCTTCCAAGAGGATACGCAGTTTTCACAGGATGAGGTGAGGAGGAAGGGAGGACAGAGTTAAGGGGAGAAAGAAGTAAACCAAAGCATTAGGGTGTGGGGAGTGTAGAGGTGACTGAGCCCAGTGCCATTCAGTGCCTCCGTTCCAAGGTTTGGGGGTCATATTTCAGCTGGAGAAATATGATCAGGGGGCCTTTGATCAGGCCTCACTCCTGTCAGGAATCTGCTAATCATACTCTTTCTCTGTTTTAGAATTACACACCAAGAAGTGGAAATCTTTAGAAACCATCCTTTATCCAGATGGGGTAATTGAGAGCCAGAGCCAGGGAGGGACAGATTCCCAGGGTGAATCAGTGGCAGAGCTCAAGTTTCCTTCCTCCAAGCTCTAGCTCCTTTGGTTACTTGGAGCCAAACAAGGCAAAAATTCCTTTCCTGACCGGAGTGAGATGATGAGGGCGGAGGGCGAGGCTTCTGTCTCCACCTCAGGTCGTCCCCATACCGGGAATCCCAGACTAGCCAGGGCGACTGGTGGCAACTGTTTCCTTGGCAACTCAATAGAGACAGTGCTGAGGATAAGAGCACTCAAGGAAGGTAGGTAAAGGAAGAAGAGAGCTGGGACAATGGCGATCCTGACGAGAGGGCTTGGGGTGGGGCAAAGAGCAAAGCATGTCCCTGAGCAGCATGTCCGGCCTCGCTTCTGCCCTGCACTGTCTGTCCTGCCTTGACCTGTACTGCAGGCTAACTGATTAACGGGCTCCCGCAGCTGCGCCAGCTGGGGCCAGGGCTGCCCCACACAACCTTGCTTCCCTGCATTCCCTTCAGCGATGTTCCTCTGCTCATCCCTTAAAATCGTTCAAAATGCAGAATGTGAAAATGCTTTCTTATGCATACACAAGCAGACATGTATATGTGCGTGCACCTGGGGCGTGCAGGCTGCGGTGGAGGCACACTCTGTCCTGTGTTCATTGTCACTGAGAGGGCTCGGGGAGGCTGGGCGACTTGCATTTGTTTACACCTTTACAGTATGTTAATGGTTTCCTTCTGGATTCAAGTGGAGCTCAAAGTACAACTCATCGCTCTATGTTCTTGGTGTCTTTGGTGTTGAAAAGGCCGTGTACCTCTGCTTTTGGTGGGGCTCCTGGCCTGTAAGCTGCCTCCTAAGACTGGCGGGTGTTGCATATCACCACATGCCAGACACTTACAGGAGAGACACATCATCAGATCGAGAGGCCATATTGGGCTGCTGGCAAACGTAATCTGCAGGCTGGGTGCTTGCTGCTCTCCCGCGTATCCGCACTACCTGTGTAGGCTGTCCCTAGAAGGGAAGTCTGTGTCCCTCTGAGTGCTGCAACTACTCCCCGGGTTTTACCATAGCAGTTTTACCTCTGCCTGTTGACCCATCTACCTGTCTGTCATTTGAGTTGGGTGTCAGTTGTTTAGGATGTTGCAATTAGAGGTGGTGTGGGCTGGCTGGCTGCTATAAGCTATCTAACATTTGGCTAAGCTCGCTCTTGTGTGCTGGGCCTGACACAGTCCTCTTGGTTCCTCGTGTGATGCCTGTATCTTTTACACAGTCACTAAAACATCCTCAGATGATACAAGCTGGAGTGGACTATTTTTTTTCTTTCACTTCAAGCTCTGGGGTACATGGGCTGAACGTGGAGTTTTGTTGCATAGGTATACATGTGCCACGGTGGTTTGCTGCACCCATCAACCCATCATTTAGGTTTTAAGCCCCACATGGATTAGGCATTTGCCCTAATGCTGTCTCTCCCCTTGTCCCCCACCTCCCGACAGGCCCCAGTGTGTGATGTTAGTTTGCTGAGGATGATGACGTCCAGCTTCATCCATGTGGACTATTTTTTCATCATATTCGACCCTTCCCAGATCACGGCTAGGGGGCCAAGTTGTGACAGGTGGAGCTGGACAAGGCTGGATTAAACATTAATGCAGCTGCTGTCACCACTGCCCAGAGGACCAAGTTCGCAGAGCCAGGTTGCAGAGCTGCCTAGTGTCCTCAGGCTGCAGAAGTGGTGACCAGCAGACATGGCTCAATTTGTCCAGGTCCTGGCTGAAATAGGTGACTTTGGTCGCTTCCAGATATGGCTCTGGATCCTGCTGTGTATTCCCAACTTCCTGAGTCCCTTCTACTTTTTTGCCCATGTCTTTATGGTCCTGGATGAGCCCCACCACTGTGCAGTGGCCTGGGTGAAGAACCACACTTTCAACCTGAGTGCTGCTGAGCAGCTGGCACTGAGCGTGCCTCTGGATGCTGCAGGCCGCCCGAATCCCTGCCTCATGTTCCGGCCACCCCCCGCCAATGCCAGCCTGCAGGACATCCTCAGTCACCGCTTCAATGCTATGCAGCCTTGTGATCTGGGCTGGGAATATCCTGAGGACAGGCTCCCCTCCCTAAAGAATGAGGTAGGGCTGTCCTTTTGCCGGTCTCTCCACCTGCTGTGGGTCTGTCCGCTCCGGTGCCTGAGTCTTCGCCCTCAGTCACCACCTATTTCTGTCTCCATATCTGCCCCATGCCCCTGTGGTCGACCATGGGCACCCACGTTTTTCTTTTTGTCAATCATCATTTTCCTTTGTCCTCTGCCTATTGACCCATCTGTCTGTCATGATCTCTGCCTGGTCTTTCTGCCCATCTGTCCATTTCTGCCCATCCTTTTGTCTGTCCCTCTCTTTCCTTGTCTCTCTGGCTATCTAGCCAGTTGCTGTCCTCTCTGCTTTTCCCGTCTGTATGCCTTTCTCTCTACCCCGTGTGCTCATCTGTCTGTCCAGTTCTCTCCTTCGGTCTGTCCCTGCATGTCAGCCCTCTAATGCCATCCCTTTCCCTGTCCATTTGACTGCCTCCCTGTTTTCCAGACTTGGGCTTCAAACCTTTCAGCTTTTCTCTCTAGGTCTCTGCCAGCCTGCCCTTGGGAAGCTGGAGAACACCCTGGACTCTAGGATTGTCCTGTGGATAACTAAGTGTTCATTCTTGCTAACTTCATTCTGTTAGGAGAGACGCAGGCAGCAGAGTTCCCACTCTGGCTGCCTCCAAGCAAGCGGGGCCCTCTGAAAGCATCCAGTCCCACTCTGTGGCTTCCCAAATGGTGGGGTTGAGGCACAGAATGAGGAGGTGGCTTAGCTAGGGCAAGGCAGTGAGTTGATCATGGAGCTGGGGCTCTCGTGCCAGACGCCTGCTGTCTACATTCCCACAGGAGTGGGAGGCAACACAGATAGTCCAGAAGCCTGAGGGGCACGGGTGTTTGAGGGGGATCTGCATTCTCATCTTCTTTATGGTGGAAAATCTGGGATTAAACATTCACTTCCCCCGCCCCATCCCATGGCTGAAGAAGTATTTATTTTTAGAGGTTTTCAGAGACCAATATGTTAACCAAAGTCTAACTTTTGCTTTTTTATATGTAACCGTAACACTGCTCCCAAAAGCCTGGCAGCCTGTGGACCTGTCCCGCTCCCGACTCTCCCCACCCTACCCCACCGGGAGCTCTAGGGGGACCTGTGCATGCTCCCAGGCTCTGGGGCTGGCCAGCCTAGCCCCTTCTGACCCTTACCGGCCTCTCCATCATCACCCCAGCATCACAGCCGTGGAGGTCCCAGCCGTCACCATCCCAAACCTGGTGTGGTTTGTCTATATGTGTTAAAACTCTCTGCCCACTTGGTCAAATATGATCATTCTCAAAGCCCAGAAAACCTTCCTGATTGCTCACAGCCTACCCTAGGCCTTGATCACACCCCGTGTTGGGCTGTTCATGCAACTGTATTCAGCCAAAGCCCCCTGAGGATTAAGTGTGCGGGGAAGTTGGAGGAGAAAGGTACTTTGTTCCCCTTCAACAAGGAGGACCCCTAGTGGTCAGGAATGGGCTGTGTGGGTTCTAAGGCCCGGAATTTGCTTCCTCCTGGTGTGGGTGGGGGCTGGTGAGGGTGGGAGTGGGCAGGCAACTTTCTGAAGGAGGTGGTATGTGTGAACTGGGCACCAAGATACTAGAAAAATGTTGCTAGAGAAGAGGGGAAAGCCTTTGCCGGCAGAGAATAGCACAGGAAAGGCCTGGCCCCAGGAAGCAGGCGGGACGTCTGGCAGCAGTGGCTGTGCCTGCAGTGGGTAGGGTGGACGGGCAGGGGTGTAGAAATTAGATGGATGTTTTCAAGGGTTTGGGACCTCTGTTCTTTGGTTTTTGTTTGACACATCTGAGAAGAATGCAGACACAAAGACTTACCACGTGAGAAAGCACTGGTTAGCACTAAGGTAAGAATTGGGATTTGTGGAGGGTATAAAAAGATTACCAAACACTTTTTGCAATTGGGAACTGCAACCAAAACAAGCCGATGATATCTCTAACACTGAGGAAGAGTCTTCGCCAGACTCTGCATGACATCTGTTCAGCGTTGGAAGGTTCTTCTCACGGAAACAGAAACAAGGGGAGTCCCCTGCCTGGTTCCCCGTGGTTAAGTGTTCTCCCCACCCCTTCTCCACCCCCAGCTCCTCGATGAAGACTTGAAAGAGGGTGTTAGAATTCCACAGACATCTGTCCGGTAGACAGCGTCGCCCTCACGTTTCTTCTACGTGCTGGGCCTTCGGCTGCGTTCTGGGAACACGGAGTCACACACCCTTAAGCTGCACGTTAGTGCGAAGCACGGGAGAGAGTGACTGACGGGAAAGACCTGTTTTTTCAGATTATGAACTCACACCATTTGATGTATTTCAAAAGGTGAAAGGCTTCGCCTTTCGATCCACCCTCCTCGGCCTCCCTGAGTGCTGGGGTTACAGGCGTGAGTCACCGCCCCCAGCCTCATTTTTAATCCTTCGTTTGACTTAAACATTGCCTTTAGTGTGATGTGGACGCAAGCCGAGCCGAAAGGGCTTCTCACAGCAGCACCCGCCTGAGGCTCTTCTCTGGTTCTGGAGCCTCGGTTGACTGCATTCTTCAGGCCCTCGCTGTGACTGCAGAATCCTCAGCAGCCTTCCCGTCCGGGCCAGCTCTCCGGGAGTCTCTGGGGGGACAGGCTTCCGTTTGTTCTCGGCAAGTTCCTCAACAGCGCAGGGATCATCTCTGAGATGAATTTGGGTCTCTACTAACAAGAAAGGGGCCTTCGGACGTGCTGAGTTACCTCAGGCACTCACTCGTCTTTCACATCTTTGAATGAGGATGAAGATGCCACTTCAAAACTGACTAGAAATCCATCTATTTGTGGATACTCAGCGGTTGTGATCTCTTACAACCCCCCTGCCCCGAGGCGTCAGAAAGTCCGAGTATATGGCTCTCCGCCCATCACGACTGTGACCACACGGTTGTCAGAAACGGTACATTTTCAGATGCAAATTTGTCTGTTGTGTAGGATATTACCAGTGGCATCACTGCTCACACAGCACACTTAATGGTCTGCATTGCTGAAACAGTTTTGTATTTACTTTAAATATTTCAAGCTCAGTGTTGACCTCAGCCTGTCCCTGGGGCGTGGGGGGCACTCAGGACCTCTGTCCTAGACGGTGCTGGCACTGTGGCTGGACCTTGGGCCTCCTGCCCTGTGATAACATGCTCTCCTCACTCCCACTCTTTTTCAAAGACTGTGACTCCCAGGGAAATGCACACTTTGTGCCCTGCGCCACAGATAATCCCAAGCTCGGTTCAAGTGCAGCTGGCTTGGTGTCAGTTCTTCTGCTTTTCGCCTGTGAGGATGGGTTTTGCCCACTGACTCAAGGACCCTCTCTGAGTGACATCCCAAGCTTCCTTATTGTAAATGGCAACTTCATATTTAAATAAATGCAAACAATACTAAATTGTAAAGAAAAAAGTGTGTTTCCTTATAGGCTATCTGCTCTTGAAGGTCAGAATATGTTTCTACTTTTCAACCTACATTTCCTGGGTGTCCATCCTTGGTAAAAGAAGAAAATTGGCTGGGTGCAGTGGTTCGTGCCTGTAATCCCAACACTTTGTGAGGCTGAGGCAAGAGGATCACTGGAGCCCGGGAGTTTCAGACCAGCCTGGGCAATATAGCGAGACCTCATCTCTACAAAAAAATAAAGCAACCAGCTGAACATGGTGGCGCATGCTTACAGTCCCAGCGACTCCAGAGGCTGAAGTGGGACAATCGTTTGAGCTAGTGGTGAGCTGTACTCATGTCACTGCACTCCAGCCTGGGGAGACCCTTTCTCAAAAGAAAAAATGACTCCCCTGTCTACATGGACCTCTGCATGGGAGGTGGGAAGACCATCAGTGAATAGTAACAATCGTGTGATCTGTCCTGGGACCAAAGAAGTAGGCATAGGAGGGAAGCGGAAGTGGAGAGAGCAGCCGTTTCTGTGGTCTGGAGGCGTGAAAATGACCGGCATGTTTAGGAAGGCTGACACAGCAAAAGAGGCTGGGAGATAGGCAACAGCTAGCTCTTCAAGGGTCTTAGGCATGGTGCCAAGGAATTTGGACCAAAGGGAGCCATTGAAGGTTTTGGAACAGGGGAGGGATACAGGATGGGGTGTGCTCCAAGAAATGAGGGTGGGATTCCGTAGACCACCATGGCAAACTGCAGACAGAACCCTCCAGGGCTGGGGAGGATGACTGGCATCTCAAGGTGGTGCTCCTTCATCTCTACCACCTGCAACAGGACAACACCTTGAGCACCTGGGCATATCTCAGCACCTCTCCAGGCCTCAGTCTCTGCTGCTGCACTGTTGCTCTTCACTGGGGGTGGTTGGCAAAATAGTAAAGATATTAACTTTGAGGGAAAGTTCTAGATTAGTCTCAAACCTTTTGGAAGGCTGAAAGGTTTTATTGGGGCATGCCGAAGGCGGCCGGCCCGTCCATCGAGTTAGGAAAAAAATGGGACGAGGCTTTCCAGATTAAGTCTGTTCATCCCACATCCCTTTGTCTCCACTCTAACCATGGCTCTCTCCAGGGACGATCAAAGGGGGATTACCTGTTGATAGCATCATTTACTCTGGGCCGGGAACCTGAAGCTTTATCCTTCATGTAACCACTCTTAACCATGTTAATTATCCACAAGTGTGTAAAGTTAGAACCTCTGCTGTAAAGTCTTCAGGGAATAAACGTGTGGACAGACAGAGGGTCTGGGTTGATTGGTTACATTTCGCCCTCTGAGAGCAGCCGGCAGCATCCCTAGCCCACTCGGAACACTGGTGGTGTGAGACTGCATTCGTGCATCCGCCGTTGAGTCAGGGTCAGCAGGTCAGACTTCTGCAGGTGGTGAGACTACACCCACGTCTTAGGCGGTGACCCCGGTGTGATTGAGGGCACACTGCACGAAGGGAATGATAAGCCACCATAGCGTGAGAATGAGGACTTAGTGTCATAAGGGGTGTAAAACTGACGAGAGGTACTGAATGCTGGCTATTGACCAGTGGTGCCAGCTTAGAAGACTCCCTGGCTTGGCACTCATGCCCGCAGAGCATTTCATCTCCTTGTGTCTGAGCTGTCTGCCACCAGCTGAGAGCTTTGTGAGCACAGAAGCCACCTAGATAACAGGTGCTGAGAGCTTCCTCTGACACAGGCACTGGGCTGACCATGTCCCAAGTGTTAGTTCCTTTCATCCTCTCAGGATACCACGTAGTATATTTAATTCACATTTTGTAAGTGGGAAACCAAGACACAGACGAGTGGGCTGACAGGCTCGAGGTCACACAAAGCCACTCAATTCCAACTCCTGAGCCTGGCAACCGCACGCCTTGATCATTTGTATTTTAAATGCCACCTTACTACCAAGGCAATCTGTGGCTGCTAGACAAAAAACAAAAGGGTACAACTGGCTGGAGCCACAATTTCAAGTCCCCTGTCCTTCCCCACTTCATTCCTGGGGGCAGTCAGTACAAGTCCCCTGTCCTTCCCCACTTCATTCCCGGGGGCAGTTCAAGTCCCCTGTCCTTCCCCACTTCATTCCCGGGGGCAGTTCAAGTCCCCTGTCCTTCCCCACTTCATTCCCGGGGGCAGTCAGTTCATCACTTGATACCGGTTGAAAGTTCTCAAACATTAACCGTTGTTACTGAGAGCAGAAGTATGAGCACAAGGGTAACTCCTGGACTGGTTAATTTCTTGCTAAAAGGTCTTTAACTGATGGTGATTGGTTAGTTAGCTAGCTGTAGGCATTCTTTTATTCCTTCATTTATCCGTTCATTCAGCAGATATCCTTCGCTCAGATTCATTCCCTGTCTAGGGCAAGAGAGGTGTCTCAGCTCCACCAGGTGCCATCCAGCTGTGGGACCAAGGGCTGGCTGCTTAACCTCCCCTTTCTCAGGAAGATGATACTTAGTGAAGGATCATTATTAGAATTCTGTGAGTTAATGCATGTAAAGTGTTTAGCAAGCACTCAGCACAGGGTGAGCACGAAGTGGTTGCTGCTGGGAAGCAGGAGGAGAGCACGCGTGACGGCTCCCCAACAAACATTCGTGTGTGGAGCTGAGCTGTGTGCCAGGGGCATGAGGGACTCCCTGATGGGCACTCCACCCAGCAGGATGGGGGTCAGTCAAGTGAGTCTGGTGCACATGTAGCAGATGTGGATGGAGGGGTATGGACCCAATTATCTTCTCTTGGTTTCTGAGGCTGTGGGATTCTCTTTATAGGTCTTGGGTGGATTCGAATCCTCTGTGTCTCTCTCTCTGCCTCACCCCTGCATGTTCTCTCCCTCCCTCCCTCTGTGTGTGTGTGTGTGTGTGTGTGTGTGTGTGTGTGTGGTGTGTGTGTTCCTCTGTCCTAATTGCCTTCCTCAAGGCATGTGTGAGGGCTCCTTAGGGTTCTGATTGCCTGTGAATGGTGGGTACCTCAGGGGCATTTTGCAGCCAGGTAGGAAAACATGGAGACGCCCAAGTGTGTCCTGGGGTGCTCTGGCTATGGGGAAGCAGCCGTTAATGGTCTGTCGCAGGTTCCCACAATTTGCATCTTTAGTGTGTCCATAATTTTACATGGCATCTCCAGGCCGAAAGAAATGCCTCATGGTTCCATGCATTGCGACGTCAAGTTCAATCAGCACGCGCTTACGTCCTAAGACTTAGTAGATATTGTTCGGAACAAGTGCGTAAGTTGACGGAAAAAACGTTTTAACTTTACTCTTAAATGTAATCACTCACTGATAGGATGTATGCACCTGCTGGGCGTCGTACAACTCTCGGGCCCTCAACACTGCACCCTCACTTTCTCTTCCACTTCCACTGTCATGCGGCATCTGCTTTTTTTTTTTTTTTTTATAGCAACTGCCAAAAACGGTTTCCTGTAGATCTGATGTCAGATTTCACATAGATAGGATGTCACTGGAAGGAAAGTGGCGTGGTCTCACGTTGAAAGCGTGAACTGTCCTGAGCTAGCAGTTTGTGTAATGTCAGAGAGATGTTGACTTAGAGCCGGAAACGCCCTGCCACGCTGCCGAGTTCCCTGTGTGCCCTGGAGCGCCCGGGCACGTGGTTAGGGAACCATGAGCTGCCGCCCTGAAGGGTTTACAGTGGGCCGGGTGGTGAAGAGCTTGCCCTCGTGTGGCCCCTGGCCTCACGTCTGCCTGCGTCTCCCTCAGTTCGACCTGGTTTGTGATCGGAAGCACCTGAAGGACACCTCGCAGTCAGTGTTCATGGCCGGGCTCCTTGCTGGCAGCCTTGTGTTTGGGCCCCTCTGCGACCGGTAAGAACCTCCTGCCCGCTCCGGCCTAGCATGCTTGTTGGCTCTGGCACGGCCCCAGGCCCCCTTGTGCCCCTCACACTGGCCTTTAGGGCAAGGCCTTTGTCCCCCTACCCTCAAATGGGGCTCTGGGGAGGGCCATGTCTCTTCCCTCAGACAGAGACCCCGGGAGAGGGCTGGGCCCCCGTGCGGCCTTCCCCTCGGATGCCTTCTGCAAGGGACCCTCCCACCGGACCTGCCTTGTTTCCTCAGGATCGGCCGCAAGGCCACCATCCTGGCGCAGCTGCTCCTCTTCTCTGCCGTCGGCCTGGCCACCGCCTTTGTGCCCAGCTTTGAGCTCTACATAGCCCTGCGCTTTGCTGTGGCTATCGCCGTCGCCGGGTTTACCTTCAGCAATGTCACCCTGTGTGAGTGTCTGGGCCTTGGCCGTCAGCCACGGGGCCAGGGAGGGTCTTGTCCGGTACCCCACACCTGAAATGGTCACACCGGCGCTTCCTGCGTTGGCCCCAAGGCCCGGCCCCAACCAGGTGGCACCTGGGAGGAATGGCGAGTGAATGGCAGGGACCAGCCCGGTCTCAACCTCCCTGTTCCCGCAGTGACAGAGTGGGTGGGGCCCTCATGGACGACGAAGGTCGTGGTCCTGTCCCACTGCAGCTTCTCCCTCGGGCAGATGGTGCTTGCGGGACTGGCCTACTGTTTCCGCAGCTGGAGACTCCTCCAGGTGACTGGCACCGCGCCTGGTTTACTGCTCTTCTTCTACTTCTGGTGAGGAAAATACATGCCAGGAGCAGCCCCCCCGGGTTAGCTGTGCTATGGGAGGGGGTTGGAGTGCAGCACCCACATTCATGGGACAGTCAGGGCTAGCCTGGGAGAGAGAGGGAGCCTGTAACGGCTGGGTGTGGGGTGCAGTTTGCACTGGAACAAGCCAGAAAGCTCCCTAGGACTCTAGGCCCCAAGGTCATAGCCGTTCCTGACCCACAGGGTTCTGCCGGAATCCGCACGGTGGCTCCTGACCCAGGGGAGGATGGATGAGGCGAAGCGGCTGATCCAGAAGGCAGCCTCGGTCAATAGGCGGAAACTCTCCCCAGAGCTCCTGAGCCAGGTACTCCAGCAGGCCCAGGCAGGCTGGGCATCAGACCCACACGGACCTTCCTGCCTGGCTGTCACTCTGCTTTTTCCTCCCAGCTGGTCCCAGAGAGTACAGGCCCCTCAGGGAATGCCCTGGATCTGTTCAGACATCCCCAGCTCCGGAAGGTGACCCTGATTCTCTTCTGTGTCTGGTGAGTGCCCAGGGCCCAGGCCCCTGCCCAAGGACACAGCCACAGGACTGCAGCCTCCCTGGAGTGTGTCAGCAGAGGGGCGGCCTGTGGCTGTCTGGCTGGGATGGTCTCTCCCTCGCTGTGCCAGTGTCCCCTGCTGTGACTGCTGACCAAGGCAGGCTCTCCCTGTGGGTGGTGTCTCGTGACCCAGCAGAGACAGGAATGCTTCATCACCTTGTAGGTTTGTGGACAGCGTGGGGTACTTCGGGCTGAGCCTCCAAGTGGGGGACTTTGGCCTGGACATCTACCTGACACAGCTCATCTTTGGAGCTGTTGAGGTGCCTGCTCGCTCTTCCAGCATCTTCATGATGGAAAGGTTTGGCCGCAAGTGGAGCCAGCTGGGGACCTTGGTCTTGGGTGGCCTTATGTGTATCGTCATCATCTTCATACCAGCAGGTACCGGGGCTGGCTGTCCCCACCCCATACCCCATCTCCCACCAGCTGCCAGGGCTAGACCAGTGGCCACTGTTAAGCTTCCAGGAGTGAAGGCTTCCTTGGGGTTTGGGTACAGAAGGGGTGAGGAGTTTCAGTGGACAGGGCCAGGGGGCAGGGCCCAGGATGAGGCTGTCTGCCCTCTGCCAGATCTGCCCGTGGTGGTCACCGTGCTGGCTGTGGTGGGGAAGATGGCCACATCTGCCGCCTTTACCGTCTCCTACGTGTACTCTGCTGAGCTCTTCCCCACCGTCCTCCGGTAAGAGCTGCGGCGTGACTCCTGCTCCTCTGCTACTGCGACGCTGATTTGGGCATCCCTCCTCGGCCCTCACCTTGTTCCATAAATAGCTGACAGGGCTGGCTGTGGGGCAGCAGTGCTGGGTGGGGTCCAGGGCAGCTGGAAATGTAGCCCAAGCCCTCAAGTTGTCCCCAGGATGGTGGAGGACAGACATGCAAGTAGGCCATGCCCTGGCGGTCGGGATGGGAATATGGGACACAGCCAAGAATGAATGGCCCCAGAGGAGGAACACTCGGGGTGGGAGGGTGGTCAGGACGTGCAGCCTCTGACTTGAGACTAGACAGGCCAACAGGGATGTAGCAGGCAGGGGACAGGGGTGGGGTGGGAGCAGACAGCAAGAGCGCTGGATAGGCTGGGTGAGGCTGGAGACCCTGCCGACCTTTGGGGTCTGGGCTCTCCCGAGGAAATGGGCTGGGGTGAAGCTGAGGCCCAGAGTTGGGCCCAGGTCTACTCAGCTTGCCCTGGCTTTCCCCCAGGCAGACAGGCATGGGACTGGTAGGCATCTTCTCCCGGATTGGGGGCATTATCACACCACTAGTGATCCTGCTGGGAGAGTACCACGCTGCCCTCCCCATGCTCATCTACGGCAGCCTCCCCATCGTGGCTGGCCTGCTCTGTGCCCTGCTGCCAGAGACTCGTGGCCAGGCCCTGAAAGACACCATCCAGGACCTGGAACTGGAGCCCCACCCACGGTGAGCTGCTTGCTTGCTCTGGAACCACGACCTGGGTCTCACATTGGCCACGCACTCTGCATGCTCAGGCCTCCACATCATCCCTAGTCCACTGTTGCCTAGAGGCGAATATGGGGTCCTCCAGAACCACAGACATCTGGCTGGCTTTGGTTCAGATTCCCCTTACTCTGAGGAAGCGGGTGGTGAGGGACACTGTCATGGGGCCAGTTCCTGGGCAGCCAGTGACAGCCGTCTGCCCCCTCTAGGTCCCCCAGATCGGCGCCCTCAGAGAAGGAAGCGGAAGCCACAGGAAGAACTTCCAGCCCGGGGGTGGCCTTTGTGAGAAGCACGTGCTTCTGATTGAGGTCTCTAAGAGCTGGACCATCAGCAGCAGGGAGCTGTCTAAACACCCCCTTGGATATGCCAGGACCCATGAGGACAGCACAAGGCCAGCCTTGCTATGGAGGCAGTACACCACAACCGGGCCCATGACTGTCACCTACCACCGCCAAGCCCAGTCCTAGAAGTATCTGGGACAGGACCTCCCCGCCTCCTTCCCCTTGCTCCTCTCCAGAGCCCCGCCAAGCCCAGTCCTAGAAGTATCTGGGACAGGACCTCCCCGCCTCCTTCCCCTTGCTCCTCTCCAGAGCCCCCAGTGCCCTGCCTGGGAAGGATCTTGGGTTTTACTTGTCCTCTAACAGTCTTCATGGGGTATGGCTCTCTCGATCTCCTCAATCTGGTGTCCCCTGCCCTCAAAACACAGTAAAGCTCAGAACGGAACACAAGGGAAGGCCATTCAAGTTGTGGGAACAGGAGGGGAGAGAACACAAATGTGAAGCTGTGGACTCTACCCAGGCAGGTGGGTGAAAAGGCTGTGGATGGAGGGAAGGTTGTGGCTCCTTCTACGGATGGACCAGATCCCTCTGGCTAAGGTATGGCCCCGTAGGTTGCTGGCTCCTAGAGAGAGAAGATTCGGTTCAGCTGAAATGGAAACTTCCACCTTGCGTTTTCTTCAAAGATCCCCCAACCCCCGCCTACACTCAGCTCATGCCTAACCTGTGGGTGGCTCGGGGACCAGGGTAGGGAGGGAGGGGAGGTTTGTTCTGCTCCCCTGCTCCCCCCCACCTCCTGCTCATGCTCAGCTGCTTCTGGGCCTTCCAGGGTCCATGCAGGGTAAGGGAAAAGGCCAGACGTCCTTTCACCCAGCTGCTGCTGGCCACAGCTCTTTGGGGCACACATTGGCTAATGCCAGTTGGTGCGCTTTGCCAGGCTTCTGAAAGCTGCCTTTCCAGGGTGCATCTTCATGGGCTTCTCAGAGATCCTCCCAGGCCTTGGTGTTGTTCCTCAGAATGAGCAGTATGTTCCCAAAGCACTCCAGCCCCTCTCAGAACCCCCACAGCCTCGCCTACAGCTGGCAGCCCCTGACCTTAGAAGATGACCTTCTTGGCTGGGCGTGGTGGCTCACACTTGTAATCCCAGCAGTTTGGGAGGCTGAGGTGGGCAGATCACCCGAGGTCAGGAGTTTGAGACCAGCTTGGCCAGCAAAATGAAACTCCATCTCTACAAAAAAATACAGAAATTAGTCCAGTGTGGTGGTGAATGCCTGTAATCCCAGCTACTCGGGAGGCTGAGGCAGAGAATTGCTTGAATCTCAGAGGCAGAGGTTGTAGTGAGCCAAGATTGTGCCATTGCACTCCAGCCTGGGTGACAGATTGAGACTCGTCTCAATAAAAAAACAACAACAACATATGGCCTTCTTGGACGGGTGCCCATCAAGATACCTCGAGCCACGCTGCCTCCCTCAGCACCTCCCTAGCCCACAAGAACACCATATATCATTGTGTCACCAAATGGTAGAAAAAGAGCTTGCCTGGCCACCCCTGCCCCCACTTGCCCCAGCTAACCTCCCACCAGGGGGAAGGTTCCAGTCCATCTTCTCACAGGCTCCCCAGCACCCGCTGCTTGCTCACCTTCTCCTGAGTGGCTGGGTCAGGAGAAGGTGAGGTGGGGGAGGTACTGGACCAGCTTCCTGTACACCCAGCATGGAAGCGCCCTGTACCTCTCTTCCAGACACATGGATGTTCCTCAGCCTTGAAGTGCTGACACTGTGTGCCCACCCTGGAGTCCTCTAGGGGACACTCGCATGTCTTTCTGGGTGCAATGTGCCTCCCAGGCTGAAACTGTCAAGGTGTGGAGAAGACTGGATAGAAGTGGGAAAGGGCCATTTCCCAGCTAAAGGCAGTTCCCTCCTCTAAGACGTGGACACTTGCTCCCTTTAAGACGGAATGATTGTCATTTCCAGGAAGAGACCCGAACGACCATGACTGGCTAATTTGTGTAATTTTAGGAGACAGGGTTTCACCATGTTGGCTAGGCTGGTCTCAAACTTCTGACCTCGGGTGATCTGCCCAGCTTGACCTCCCAAGGTCCCAGGATTACTGGCATGAGCCTCTGTGCCCGGCCCCTGGAGACTTTGTCTTTTCTTATTGAGGGGATTATGGTTAGGAAGAAAGATTTTTTTTTTTCTGGTTTGTTCTGATAAATGGGTAAATGCCCTTTAGCAGTGACTGATGGGAGGTTGGCTGCTGAGGCCTCTGGGTCCCCAAAGGACAAGGTATGCAGCCTGATGGTGACTCTACTCTGAGAAGCACAACAGAAAAGGGGCCTTCCTGGGCCAGGCAGTGGCCAGCACATACTGAACCACTGTCCCCAGAGGGTGTTACAGAACACAGAAGAGCCTGGATCTGAGGGACACGCTAGCAGTGAACCCCTACTCAGTGCTATGGTTAGCTTTGCGGGGGGCTGCTGAAGACTCAGATCTCAGGTCTCGGGGGCAGGACCCGCCTACTCTGGCCTCAGCCTTCCCATGTTAGAATGTCCAATGTCTAAGATGGCCCCATACTCCCCCTGCCAACTGCTGCTCTGCACTGACACGGTCCCCACTGACTCCAGCCACACTGACCTGTCCCCCACCTCACCCACTTCCACCAAAGGCACCACCCTATGTCGCTGGAACGGTGGCTCCATCTCTGGCTGGGGCGTCTATGTCCTCCGGGCTGCTTGTAAGGTGCTCCACCTCCTGCCTCTTCCTCTCTCACGCGGGAGGGAGGGTGATGGGGAAGCTGCTGCCCACCATGACAGCTTCTCAGCCACTACCCCTCCCACGTGTGGCGCCTCCTCTCATGAAAACCTGTCTCTTCCTGGCTCCCACCTCTTGGCCTCTAGATCACAGCCTCATCCATCCAGAACTCCGACTCAAGGTTGTCCCTTCCACTCCAGCCCTGCCATCAGCTTGGGGAAACCCACCTCCACCTCCAAAATCTCAGGAAGTTCTGGCACATGAGTGCATAGCTGAAGGACTCTCTGACCGACTTCTCATGCTCTGGCCCAGCACGCCATCCTTCTGGCTGGTTTGCTGGTATTCCCGTCCGTCTGAGTCAGCTCAGGCCCCCACAATGAATTACCACTGACTGCGTGGTTGAAAAACAGAAATTAATGTTTTCACAATTCTGGAAGCTGGAAGTCCAGGATCAGGTGCCAGCACGGTCAGGTTCTGGTGAGGGCCCTCTCTCCTCTCCCTGGCTTCAGATGTCCTGGTCTCCCATGACCTTTACTTAGTGCACACACATGGAGAAAGAAAGAATTTCTCTCTGCTGGACCAGAACTCCTGGGCCCCACCTTAGCCTCCTGAGTAGCTGGGACTTCGGGTGTGCATCGTCGCATCTGACATCTCATCCTCTGTTTATGAGGCCGCTAATTCCATCCTGAGGGTCCCACCCTCATGACCCGCTCAGTCTTACTTACCTCTCAATGGCCCCACCGCCAAATACCATCACATTGAGGGGCGGGGCCTTAATAGGTACATTTGGGAGGGACACGAACATTCTTTCCATAATGCCATCCTTAGCCTCATTGGGCCCTACGGTCTGTTGACCCTTTTACTTTCTCCTCACCTCCCATAGTCTTCTCTACTCTGATTAGAGGAAGCAAGCCATCATTTTCACTTCCACTGAGAGATGGAAATTATTTCTGTCTCTGTTGCCAATAGTGTACGCTTTGATCCTTTTGCCATTTGGTTGTACCCAAGTAGCAAAACCACAGCAGTGAATGAGCCCAGTCACCTGCCTTTTCTTTCCCTGCCTCCCAGACTGCTGGCTATTGCTACAGGGAGTCACACCCTGGACAAGTCGGTTCCTCTCTGAACCAATGCTCACCAGCCTCAACTGGGTCCTTAGTGCGCGGCGCTCCTGCCAGCTTTTCCTAGCCCACTTGTCTCCCAGCCCCCCGCCGGGGCTGTCTCTACCCTCCACCCTGCACACCTCCCACCCTCCCACCTTCTAGCAGAGTGCTTCTCCTCCTTTTAGAAACTGGAGAAGCCATCCTGTGGCAGCTCCCACAGACTTCCCACCACCAAATCTTTAACCTACTCCGTCACCTGCCCTTCTGCTGCACGGAGATGTCAGAGAAGCAGCTGACGGCGAGGCCATTAACTCTACTACCCCAACACGTTCTGGGAGCGGCTGAAGGTTGGGCCTTGTCCTCCTTCGCCTCTCTTCTCCATTTTCTCTGCTTTAGGCGAGGAGACCGGGGTCAGGCCGTTGGTGGGGAGCCTCTGAATTGAATTTGCCTTTGTCTCAAAGTTTCTTTGGAGATGAAAGACTATCACTCCTGGGGTTTTCCTACTCCCAGAGGTCTTCAGATGAAGCAGGACTGGTGTCACCCATGAATGGTCCATGCCATTTTTCTGCAGAGGTGTTGAGGTCTGAGCCAGGACAGGCCTTGACAGTGATCGGGCTGGAAAGCAGGAAGAACCCAGTTTCCTGGTGCCCGGGGCCTCCCTGGGGCTGGCCCTTGCCCTGTGGGGTATTGGCGGCGGCTTCGCTGGACCCTGGTTGTGCACCTCCTTGCTTTTGTTCCTCAGAGGTCAGGGCAGTGGTGACTTTCAGTCCTGAGCACTCAGCCCGGGTGTGTGAAAGTGAAACCATGCCTCAAACAGTTAAAGACACCAATGACTAACAGAAATTCTTGAGTTTGCAGGATGGCAGATAAGAAAAGAAACAGCTTGCTGAGACGCTGAAACTCCCTTCACTTGTAAGACAACAAAACTGGCTTGAATAGGTGGGCACCAGTGTGGCCCGCTCAGGCCTGTGCGGAGCCTGCCTGCTGACGTCACGGCCTGAATTCCACTGCTGGTTTCAGCCTCTCCCCGGTACCTGCTCGTGTGATCCATGAGGTGTTGGGGGGAGAACCGCGAATGCCCGAGGACCTTCCAGACCCGCTTTTTCCTTCCACCAGTCACCTGCTAATCTCAGAATCCCGACGCCTTTTCTAATAAAAATACTGCCTTAGCACCAGCCCAGGGAGACAGAGTCAAGCTGGACTCCTGTCTCCATGTCGGTCGGCCTATAAGTAAAAACATTTATTTTCTCAAAAACCTGGTATCATAATATTGGCTTCTAGCACATCAAACAGCGAGCTCCTTTTGCCTAGAAACAACTTGACCCTCATATTTACTCATTTTCTCGACCTGTAGCCAAGGGAAACGAAACCAACCTCCTACATTTTTAACAAAGGCAATCAACGTTTGTAGCTGATACAAATATTGTTTTGTAAACTCATATCAATCACCAAATAGACTGGCCCAGGGAACTGTATCGCAGGCTGGATTTGTCCCACGGACGATGAGTTGGAGACCCCTTCCCTGGATTATGGAGTTGCAGGCACAGTCTGAGAAGGAGGCAGCCCCCTGGTGTGACTGGCAGGAAACTAGGGGCCTAAGAGGGAAAGGGGACTTCTCCCTAAGCAGACAGCGAACTCTTCTCCAGCCTGTCCACCCTGTCCAATAGCAGCGTGAGGGGCTCGTGGTGGCTTCTGAAAGTGGTCCTAGCCTTGGCTGGGGTTAGGAGGGCAGCTTGGTAACATACCCAGGTGAGGACCCCATGGAGGC